TATACACATATAAAGACAGGCTAACATAGAATATCTCTTATTAATTTAGATTAGACATAATGACATTACTTTCAGGGGAGAAAACGAGAGTAATGGATTTGTGTCCAATAAATTAACATCCTTTTACTGAGATTGTATGAGTTTAATCACTACATTGACCAATTAAACCATTGCAAAAGCTTTGAAGAATGAATGAAAAGAACTTGTCGCCTTAAAAAATCCCTCCCTAAAGAATTTCCAATTTAATTTAATATTTTAAACTAACACTATCAAGTCTTCTAGGCAAACCTGTGTATATCTATTGTCAGTGCTCACACATTATTTTATATAAATACCAGTAGGTACAAGTAAAATTTTCAATTTTTTGTAAGGGTTCTCATATCTCTCCAATTGACGCTTTGATGTACCTATACTCAAAAGTAGGAGTGACCAGGGAGATGGTGTTTGGATTTTCGCTTATAGGAGATAGGGGGTCTGCAGAATGGTCCTCACCTGGAGATTTGGACGCTAGACGTAGTTTTTCATAAGATATCATGGATATGAAGTATATACTCAGACCCACTTAAATTTAATTAAAACTCAATAATATCTTTCTTACATATTCGGCAAACGTACAGTATTTATCAGATGTAGAATGCATTTCTCCATGTAGAATGTTTGTGGAAACCAAGCAGAATGTTTGTGTGTTTGCCTGGACGCAGAAGTGATAACTCATTAACCAAATTACTCCATTTGCAATCACTAGTTAACTAACGTTTAGCCAAGAACGTGCGTTGCCTTTGAGGCACATTGATGCACGAAACAGACACACTGAATCACCCCTGATTTTGTCTATTTTACCCTCACTCCATATCTACATCATGAATGTTTAGGTTAAATTTTAATATGAATTATTTTATATTCTACATGGGTTAACGGATCTAATAGAGGTGTTGATTCCGTTACTACTTAAACAGTCCGACAGGTAGTATTTCAGCTGGGTTCTTCGGTCTTGGAATCCAGTGAATGTAGATTTAACGCGGCCATAGAACTACGGATGTGATGTTTGAAATAACGATTAAATTGCTTAAAGTTATTTTTAGATAAATTGTACTATAAATCATAAACAATTTAAAATAACATTACGCACGCTATAATCTCTAGTACATTTCATCACAATAAAACCACATTTTTCGTTGATGCTATACAGTTTGACTAGTTTAAATAGAAAAGAGGTACTTTTAAATATATATGTACTTCTGTTGAAGCAGCTTTTTGCTGCATGCACTTCTTGTCAAAGACAATTACTTCATTCTTTTATACTACGTTACACCACTTAAAGTAATTGCACTATTATCCCTATCTTACTACTAATGCAGATATAGATAGAATAATAGATAGAGATTTTTTTCAATACTAATATTAAATAAGGAATACCTAAATATGTAGTTTGAACCTGTAAAGACTATTTAAAATTTCACTCTTGTGCCTAAATAATCATATTTATGTATAAGTCATAGCTATTGTAATCTGGTTTAAGCAAATTTAAAGATTCCTAAATATTTGTAATGGATTTTTATCTTATTTTATTAAGATATTTATCTTAGCAACCATGTTAAATTTCAGTCATATACAACTCAATGATACAAATAACAAGATCACTTAATAATCTTATACTTCTTTTAAATTAATCTGTTAAATGAACCTAAGCATCTCAAAGTATCTCATCTCTAGTACAAACTTTGAAGTTCTTTTTAAAATCCTCACAGTATTAAATTAATATAAAAAGATGCAATAAAACTCCTGGATTTACGTTGGATATATTCCACCAGAATTTGATATGGTTTATCTTTTACTTCGTATAAATTATTAAAATCTATTGCGCGGAGTAGGTCCACGAGTGAGCCTGAAATCTATAATATTTAATAATCCCAAACGTCAAAACTCCATGGATATGAATACGCCCGCTTTGTAGGGTTGTGTACCATATCCCCTTACTTTTTGATATATAATCAAAACATTTTGTAAAGTTTCATATCTGACTAAGGTTTGTAATTTTTAATACTTGCTTCTATCCAGCATAATTATTAAAAAAAATGCATGTCACCTAATACCGATATTCCTATTTTACTTTCAACACAACCGATTAGATTAGAACTGCTACATCTCCCGTCAGAAAAGAAAACAAATTTTTAAGTATAAAGATCCACGCACACTAGTTATAAATCTGCCGTTTAAAAAAAATCTGTTAATATTACATTGAAGGAACAGTCACTATGATGATTATCTTTACAACCATCGGCATACAAATACAAACAATAAAACCTAAGATACCTATTAATATATTCTAGTAATATACTATTGCATACAATGAATAATATACATATGTACATGTATTATTTTAAGCACGGCTTAGTTAAAGATTTCTGTCAGATAAAATAAATAAAATTATATTTAAAATTATTTAGATACGAAAACGATCGTTTTCCATGTCACCAACATCATTTAGCGCAGTAATAAATAGTTCTCAAAGTGAATTTATATTTCTTATTTCCGATATACGTCGTCTTGGAAAAATTGTAAATTATTGTACTTAAAAAGTTTTATATTTGAGAAAGTAGAACTATTATATTAATAATAATTATATTAATATATAACTACTTAGTAATAGAAACGTAGTAATAAGAGATTCAAACAATAAGTAATGTTGACATATACACTGGGCTATTGCATTTGATTGATGTCTTAACTAATTCTCAAAATTTGAAGATTAGAATTCACCAAGCTTATATGTTTGTTATAGGTAAAAATTTTCTTCAGTTTAACATTTTGTTACGTAAGTGCTAAATATTAAGAAATAAATAGACATCGCCGGGCAACACCCTTGTATGGGTAAAATATAACATAACGAGTGACTATATAATTATTTCATACTTATTCAGTATAAAGTTTTGATGTCCATAGTCTAATGTTGAAGTTATTAAGAGGTCTTTTATTCAGTGCTAGCAATTTACAAAAACAACTAATTCTCGAAATCCATAGTGATTTACTACGATACTTAGAGAATCTCAAGTCATTGAGTAGCAAATTTGTCATTGTAGGCATTTCTCCCAGCACTTTCCTTCATCTATTTTCTGGGTATCCACAGCGACGTCGTTTAATTTCGAACACTTACAACTCTTAATTTCCACCGATAGTAAAAAGGTTTTTCTTGTACATTTGTACATATTTTGATATTATACACAAGGGATCTTAATAACATCGATATATATTACCTAATGAAATATCTGTTAGATTTTAAATAAATTAAAAAATATTAAATTTATTTAAAATTAAGGTTGGTTATAACATAAAATAGTCACCATGGATTCAACTACGAAACTAAACACTATCTATAAAACTAAGGAAATCTACTACTAACTAAATACCAATACTAACACACACTCATTATTGTCACAGGTCTTGCACAGTAGTCTATATAAGATTCCAAAGTGTATAAGATTGTATTTGTATTTTCTTCTAACTATATCTGTGTAAGATTATTTTTATTTTTTGTTTTGAACTTAAGTTATTTATCAAATAAAATACAAATTTTAACATTCATGGGAATTCAGAATTGTAAACTTAAGGATAATTTAAAACGAGGTACGTAAGTTACCTAGCTTTAAAATGAAATGTAACTGGTTATTTTAAAAAACTACATGCGACCGACGTTTCTCTTACTTTGCAGCACCCGTGATTACGGGCAAACGAGGAATTTTGAATGAAAACTCTTGAAAGTCTTAGATGTCATTATAAAATGTTACCGAGTTATTTTTTTTACAATGAAACATAAATAAAAATTACTAAACCTATTAAGAATATCGATCAACAATTGTGTATATATGTATATTTAACTGTTACCACAAATTAAGGAAAATGAAAATATAATCTAAAAATATATTTTGGATAATAATATTTAATGTCGGAGTGGTGCTTATTCGTGTAATAATATATTAATCTAGTAATTGTTAATACAAAAGCTCTTCTTCTAAGGAGGTACATTAGCCGTGTGTTTAACTAGGTATTTTTTTCTATAAACACAATAATAATGACGTTTGCTTCTGTAACTAATTATTACTTTCATACAAAATAAATATATAGTGAAGACTTTAATATCTAATAATTTATTTCGTATAACCAATAAACCTTGAGTTTAAAAGTTAGCCTGCCAAGTATAGAATTAATATTAAAAACTATGAATATCCAGATGGAATTATTTCGTGATCGTAAAATTTTAATTTGAATGCTATGATTTTAAAATAAGAATAAGTCTCGTTTCTACATTTTTTAGGTAACTGGAATCTTATATTTAGAAAGATATTAAAATGTCTTTGAATATTGAGTGATTAAACATATAAAACTTAGGCATTGAAAAAATTTAAGATTTTAAAGGCTCGTGATAAATTTACTTTATATATAACCTGATTAGAATACCTATTACTTAAGGGAATTCACAGTGGATTAAACCTGTAAAGAAACCTATTGGGAATTTTCAACTGATACATAAAAATAGAAATAGTTGGTGAATTTAAAACAATAACTTAAGTTATACACAAATGAGATGAGAGGTGAATAGGAGGGAAAAAATTTGCATTTGAGTAATGTTCCTATGCAGTAGTAAGTTCCTCAACAAAGACAGCTGAAAATACTCCTTATGAAATGTAATAATGGAATATTGTGTTGATATTATATACGAAACTATTTTGTCAGGCATATATTGCGAAACATTCCTAGGTAGACTTTTTTAGTGATAAAAAATAATAAATCATTGAAGTATGGACATTTTCATAATATATAAAAACATAGTGTCAGATAAATGGTGCAATGCGAAAATGATGCATTTAAGTTATGTAATTTATTCAAAAATTATTACATTGACTTCGTATAGATTTAGTTTTACAAATTGACGATTATTAGTATAATTCAATTAGATAAAATTATAAGACCATTACTGAAATCAGAGATCTTAACATACATACTAATAGTGAGTAATAAATCAATTCACTGACCTCTACGTACTGTCCGAAGATGGCCATCATTTTATCGTCGTAATGTGTTGCGAGGGCCCGCAGCAGGTCGCAGGCGGCGCGGCGTCTGGTCGCAACGTCTGAACCTTCGATATCACGCCACACATACTCCTCGGGATTATCTTCAAACAACTCGATATCTGATTCTGGAAAAAATACATATATACATACATTATCTTCAAAGGAAACGTATAGAAATCCGTCCGCTTTAAGTACTGGCAGCTCATTCCCTGTTGGACATTATATATTCTGTTTAATAAGTATAATGAAATATCTGATTTGTGGCATATCGTAGGCAATAGTGCAAATCTGCAAATTAAACATTAAATTATAACTATATGTCGAAAAATTACCTTAAAAGTCATTACTGTGGAAAATATTTCAAATTAAATTTTCTTGTGATAATCTGCTTCCAATGTACATAAGCGGAATTATCCAATGGTAAATACGCGGATATATCTGTATCAATGTATATAAATTTATCCTATCAAAGCTTGTTATTTAATGTAACAATGTGAATTTGCCATAAGTTACCAATCTCATTTCTTTACTATTTATACCAACACAGAATATTTTATATAATTTAATAACTAAATTTCCCATATATATGTACAGCTTGGTTTACACATGAGTTTTCGCAAAATATTCCAATCTCTTACCATCGGGTCGTTAAGTTAGCTTTAACTTTAGTAATTACGTTTATTACTAAGGAACTAATTTGAATTCATTTGGAGATTGGTGTAAAAAAATATCTTCATTTTACGGATGGTTATGGATGGTTCTGATACATATTAAATGTTAGAAATATACTTTAATTAAGCGTTGACAATTGTTATTAAATAATTAATTATAAGTTATGTTTAAATTCCACGTAATTTCACGAGGCGATGAAAACTTTACGGACTTTTTCGCGAAGTATAATGCGAAGAAATCCCAAGCGTTTTGGTTAATATTTTTTAATAGTTACATAAAAAAAACACTCAGACTTACAATATTGCACTTGAGTATATAAAGGTATTATAAAGTTTTTATTTTACAAAAAGTATCAGGTATATTATTCCTACTTGAAGAGATCTGAATAAATTTTAAGACATTATTACTTTATGATTATGAAAAAATAGGGCCCAATAATCCTGACATGACTGATAAATATAAAGAATGGTTAAATAAGAAATAAGCACCTCGTGCCAGACATTAAAGAGACCAGGTCCATTTGAAGTGTCTAATTCTATTCATACAATGATAACATTTTCATATAACACCTTCACCTCTAACACAATTTACAACAGAAAATTCTTCTTCAAAGCGTATGAGATGTCTTCACGAGATCTGGCTGGTGACTACTGGTGTTGACTACTGACGAATGGTGATTACGACTGACTGACTACTGACGACTGGTGATGACGACTGACTGACTACTGACGACTGGTGATGACGACTGACTGACTACTGACGACTGGTGATGACGACTGACTGACTACTGACGACTGGTGATGACGACTGACTATTCGACTCACAGCGGCCGTATTTTATATACGTTGCGCGCGCGCACCTAGTACCGCTGTGAGCCAGCGCGGATGCCCCGCCCCCCGCCAAGTGACCCTACCGCCGTTCGTTTATTGGTCAATAGGTTTATCTTAAGTTTTACAATAGTATACTGCGCTCTTGCAAGAGACGCTCATTAGGGATTTTTATTTACACGTGCGCACCTGCAAGAGTCGCTTTCCTTTTATTAATTATACAATACAAATATTAGCCTAATTCCTTATTTCTTACATTTCTTATCTCTTAAATCTATTATTAACTAAACATCAGTTGCGTCGCCGACAGTAACAGTATATTGTGAAAGTTATGAATTAAATAACTCTACCAAAATTCTTATTTTCCTCATGTCTAAAATGAGATTCTTTACATACCCTCTTTAACTTTAGTTGTACCTAGATATATTTTATTAAATAAAATAGAAATATTTTTGTGTAAGAATTCAGTATTCGACAGCTTCTTCTGACTTATTACATTTATACACGTGTCTAGAACATTTTAAGGACCTAACAGGTTTATAAAGAATTTGTCAAAAATATCTAATTGAATTGACATGAATGACTGTTTACGAAGTTATTAAGATTTTAAAGACATACAAATTGTACATGTATAAATATTAATATTTTATTCCCTATTTGTATACGATACTGTTCACTGTTTCATTTGCACTTTAATTTATTCAACATTTCGATTTGTTTCATAAATTTTTACAAGAACGATCAGGTTAAGTATTTAATCTATTTAATGTTAAATACATAGGGTACTATTTATTTATTTATTTATTTATATATTCTTTATTGTACACCAATATAGACACATAATAGGAGTAACATAAAGAAAAGAAAATGTACAACAGGCGGCCTTATCGCTAAAACAGCGATCTCTTCCAGGCAACCTTTGGTAGAGGAGAGAGATAGGATGGTAGGGGTGTACAAATTATAAATATAGATACAATATATATATATATATATATATATATATATATATATATACATCCACATATATGTATATATACGATACATAAATAAATATACCATAAATATATACTTACATAATAATATAATATACATACACATTATAAATATATACATTTACATACTATACATAGTTACATAATATGTCACGAAGCAAGATAGTGCTCTTTTATCAGTTTTTTTAAAAGAAGTCAAGGTTGGTGCACGTCTTGCTTCGAGTGGAAGAGAGTTCCAAAGACGAATAGAATGGACAGTAAAAGAGTGAGTGTAAAAAGAAGTTGTATGAGGTGGTATTTTTAACATTAAATTCTCTTCAGAACGAAGATTATGACTATGTGAAGAACTAAGAAATTGAAAACGTTCTTTTAGATATGAAGGAGAAGACGGATTGAACAGAATACAGTACAGAAGCTGAAGGATGTGAGTATTCCTGCGAAGCCGGATTGGGAGCCACTTGAGCTTTTTACGAAACTCAGAAACGTGATCATATTTACGAAGACCAAATATGAATCGGATGCAAAGATTTTGGAGACGCTCAAGTTTATTAAGTTGCTCCTCTCTTAAATCAAGATAACATGCGTCAGCATAATCGAGAATTGGTAGTAGGAGTGACTGTGCTAACATAACTTTGGTAGGGATGGGTAGAAAGTTGCGTAATCTTCGGAGGGAGCCAAAGGCTGCAAAAATTTTTTTACTTACCTCACTTACCTGTGGTTCCCAAGACAGGTGCTGGTCAAAGGTAATTCCCAAATTCCTAGCTGTGACACTGAACGGTATGTTAACACCGTTAAAGTGTACAACCGGGAGATCCGAAAAAGATATGCGAGAAATTAATTTTGAACTACCAATAATCAGCACCCGTGTTTTATTTGGGTTTACTCGTATTCCAAATGCAGTAGACCACTTAGAAATATTTAATAAATTATTATTAACAAAATTTATAGTTGCAGGAAGGTTCGCAATTTTACATTGTGAATAGATCTGGAGATCATCTGCATACAGGTGATAGAGAGAAGATATATGAGAAGTGATGGTACTTATAAAGACCGAAAACAAGAGAGGAGACAACACGCCACCTTGTGGAACGCCAGCAGTTATAGGAGCCCATTCTGAGAAAGAATCTTGAACTCTTATCCGTTGCCGGCGCCCATACAAGTAAGAATGAAACCAGTCAATTACTTTAGGAGATATGTTAAGAGAACACAAAATAGCAAGAAGAATATTAAAGTCTACAGCGCTGAAAGCATTACTAAAATCTAATAATGTCAACACAGTAACCTGTTGATTATCCATTCCTAATCTAATGTCATCAGTTATTTTGATCAGAGCCGTAGTCGTACTATGACCAGGACGGAAGCCAGATTGTAAAGGATTCAATAGGACATTTTTTGAAAGGTATTGGTTTAATTGATTGTGAATAAGGCGCTCAAGTACTTTAGACAGGAAAGGGAGAATGGATATAGGACGATAATCAGTGTAAGATGAAGGATTTGTGTTTTTGGGGAGGGGGATGACTTGTGCGTCTTTCCAGGATTCAGGGAATTCACAAAGGATAATGGATTGGTTTAAAATATGTGTGACTACAGGAATTATAATATCTAGGATTGGGAGGATCATCTTACGACTAATGCAATCCGAACCAATAGCATCAGAATTTATTGCTAAAATGTTCTTCTTAACATCACTATGAGTAAATTGACTAAAGAAAAAAGGAGAATTTTCAGGAGTTGATTTAGCAGAAATTTCTTTTAAAGTATTAGACTTCACAGAAGTGTCGAAAGTTTGAGAGGTCGAAAAATGATTATTTAATTCATTTAAATTAATATTGTGAGTATTTATGTTACTAGAAGATTTTCCAACTCCTAATGACTTGAGAAATTTCCAGACTCTAGCCGACTCCTCTTCCTCAGCTATAGATTTATGGATATGGCGTCGTTGACTATCTCTACATAGCCTGTTGCAGTGATTGCGAACCTTCAGATACTTGTCGCGATTTGCGTCAGTCGGATTACACCTATACTTAGCCTTGGCAACATTCTTTCTTACTTGGAGCTTCTTTATTTCTGGGGTGAGCCAAGGTGCAGGAAGGTGTTTAAGCCGGACAGGACGAATTGGTGCATGTAAATCATACAGTTTAGTTAATAGGGAATTAAAAACTGTAACTTGCTCATTAACTGTATCAACATTTAAAATAACACTCCAATCAATGTTGGCAGCATCCTCCCGCAGACTATTCAAATCCATTCCACCAAAATTACGCTGCAGAAGAATTCTCGATTTTGCTTTGGGTGGTTTGATTTTATAGGAGAGATAAAGAAGATCATGATATGAAAAAGCAAGGGCGGGGCACTGCCCATGCTTTTCAACATGATCAACGGAAGAGACCAAAATTAAGTCGAGAAGAGAAGGAATAGAGTTAGGGAAGGAATGAGTAGCAGATAGAGGTAGGATTTGTAAATCTGCACTATTTAGTACAGATTTCAATAGTCTAGAGCGATAGTCATTTTTTAAAAGACATGTATTAAAATCTCCCATAAGAATGGTATGGGCATACAAAGGTTTAAATCGCTCTAGAAGGATTTCAAATGATGAAAAGTAATCGACCGTGAGGTTAGGACTATAGTAAACACCTAATAAAATCTTAATATTACCAAAGATAGCCTCAATAAAAAGGTGTTCAGCCCCCTCAACGGACAGAGGTGTCGATTGACTTATAATTGAAAAGGGAATGTGAGAACGGAGATAGATCGCCACTCCACCACCTGCCCGACCTACACGGTCGTTACGGATCAAATGAAATCCAGGAAGAGAGTAGGAAGTAGAAGGTAAGCAGGGTTTAAGCCAGGACTCAGATATGAGAATAGCATGTATTTTATTGCAATCGAATGATGAAAGCATATCAGGATAATGTGCAGGAATACTCTGAGCATTAATATGGATAACATTAAAACATTTCAGACAGTCTGAGAATAAAGAATTTATAGTTTCACCGAGCGAAGGGATACTATGAAAGCTGTCATTACTGCTCAATCCATCAGAAGAAAGAGAAAGAAAAGTTTCGTCCAAATCGTCATTGTTTCTAGACATTTACGAATTAAATATTCAGCAAATAAAATAAATAAAAATATAAAGATAAATATATACAATATATATATGTAAGATAATAATAATATATATTAATTTTATATTTACAAAATAAAAATAGGTAAATGAATAATTATACGCTAATTAATTTCATAAGAACACTCACCCGCCAGTTGCCTAGGAATAATCACTTAAACACAAACATAACATAATAGAAACAATAATAACATTAAAAACTAACAATAACAAAGAAAAATAATCATAAATTTATTAGGCAGCCATAACAACAATTTTTTACTAAAAAGGAATATTATTATATTACATCTATGTATAGAACTAAAAAAACAAACATCCAAAGCGCCTGATTGACAAACGTCAGAATGACGTTAACTTTTACACAACACAAAAATTAAATTGAAAGCAGGTAAACAGAGAAATAATTTTAAAATTATACGAAAACAAACAATAATAAGAAGAAAGATAAAATATAAAATAACTATTTCTTAACTACGCGCTTTGACCTCTGCAATGATACTTTATCGCTAGTGTTTGCGATGGGGATTTTTTGGACTGGGGACTTACGAGTTGAAATCGAATCAAGATCAGATAAACATTCGGCTCGATGTCTAGATCCATCTGGGGCGATAATGTGTATCAAACCGTCTCGTGTCCAACACTTGTTGATGCCGAACCGCTTCCTGGCCTCCATAAACACATTGTGTCGGCTTTTCGTCAGGAACTCTGACTCTGTGACACCGGTGCCCTTCAACTTCGTTTTGGCGAACCAGACCTTATTCCTAATGGCAGTATCGGTAAATTTGACCACTATAGGTCTGGGCTTGCTGTCCAAAGGTCTTCCCAAGCGATGACAAGATTTGATACTGCTGGTAGAAACATCCGGCAAGTCCAAGTGCTCCGCAACAAGGCTGGTAACGCGAGCAGTGGCATCCTCGGATTTCTCTTCACTAACACCGTGGAAAAGAAGCACTTTTCGACGTCTCTGCATTTCAGTCCGATCCATTTCCCTGGCGAGAAACTCAATTTGTCGCTGAAGTCCACTTAGTGCAGTGAGAACAAAAGACTTAAAAGAATTGAACTCCGATGAAAGAGAAGGCACAGTCGCAGGTGTTGATGTCCTCTGCAAGTCTTGCTGGAATTCATTCATACGGCTGTTGAATAAGTCAGTCATTGCAGCCAGAGACTCCTTGATAGATTCCATTGTTCTTGTGTAGTTTTAAAGTGACAAATAATTCAAGTGATAAGTAATTTTAAAGAGGATTCACTATCTGGTGGGTAGAGTAGGTCACATACACATAATATATTATAAATTAACTTGTTTTAAATAAATATTTACTATAAAACTAAAAAAATATCTTTAAGAGCTTTTAAAAGTGGTGTTGCTTGTTTTCACTCCTACCCTCTTTCGTCCGGCAGGGTACGGCAGTTATCACACTGGAAAATCTTGAGTGGAAGTCAAATATTTCTCATTTATCGAAAACTATAATTTGTCAAAGATTTAAATTATAGCCGAAGATTAAACATATTTATGTGCAATGAAAAACTATGGCTATGACTATATCTAAATGAATACTTCATGAATTAATCATCATAAGACGAACCATTAGGCATGTCAGGTTACAAGAAACTGCAGACGACGGTTACATTCTATTTAATTTTAATCTGAATCAAGTTAAATATATATGCTCTTGTAATTCCAATGATCATATGAAGATACAAAAAATACACACTTAAAAAGTAAACAAAAATCGAAATAAATATTTATAGATAAAACTAAACCAATCAATCATGAGAAAATTGAAATAGAACAATCCATTCAGGAGATTGCCAATCCTGTTAAGTTTATGTGCTTTTGAATAAACCTGCATGAACACAGAAAATTGAAAAAGAGATTAAAATGATTTTAAAGTCTTGTTTTACGTATTTTATTACGAAATTATATATGGAAAAATTTTAATATTAAAATCAAAAGGATAAACCTTAATATTTATTTATGAAAACCTATCAAATCTGGCATGGCAATGGCATGATTAATAGACGTTTTAGTTTTCAGAAACAGCCCGCCGAATTATACACAGAATCTGATTTTTTTCTGTGCTTAAATAGACTCATTATTCTACCTACAGTTTTAAAGCCTATTAAATACTTTGTAAGATACAGGACTAACACTATATATAAACGAAGTAACTAATGACCGAAGTTTTCTAAGAATTTGATAATCGGTTATTGTTAACTATTGTATTCAGCATTTTTTACGTATATATGTATAATTAGCCTATTACTGTCCATTACTCAAGAGTTCTAGCTATTCCGGTCTGAGTTGCACCCTTTTAGCTTCTATTGGCCACCTTTCTCAAATCATCTGTCATTCTCGCTGCATTGTCTTAGAAAGCATTTACCTAGACGGGTCTTTACTCTCCCCCCTTTTATTCTCCATAAATCATCTGATATTCTTGAGAAATAAGCGGTCTAATGACATTTCAGTGTGTTGATTCTGTACATATCCGCGGTTTTAGTCTTCTAGTGTGTCACTTTACTCTAAATTTGATTTGTGAGAAAACTCCGCTCATACTACACCTGTCACCACATGCAAGTTAAAGTTACTTAACTCCATAAACT